CCACTTCACGTGCATCACGGGGGCCTCGCCCTCGATGCCTCGGCCCTTGGCCGACCATACATACGACTGCTCCAAACCTTGAGCAGCGCTCAGTGGGTTTCGTACCACTCCACGATCAGCCCGCGAGTCAAGCTCGAGACTCCTGTCCGATACACCGTTGGTGTCTACCAACTCGGACATTCCTACGTCTAGCACGTTGACCGTCTTGATCCAATGCTCTCGCCAATAGCGCTTTTGTCTTTCAGCAGAGGTGGGTTCATGACTCGCCGAACATCCACCGGGAGATGTGCGCGTAGCGCCCAAGGTCTCTGAACGCCAATCAATCCATGGCTTATGTTGTTCCAGCCTTACCATTCCTAGGATGAGGCCATACCTTGCATCCAAGTCTAAGCCTAGACAGCGTTCCACGCTATTAATTCAAGAAACTTGACTCCGAAGTCCACAGGGACCTTCGGGACCGTGACACGTGTCCCTGTCGCTAGGCAGATAGTGACGATGTCACCCGACCGCGCTTTCAGCATCTCAGCATACAGCTGACTTTCTTCCATCGTGGAGCGTCGAGCATAATTGCTCGACGCCTCGAAATCGATGAGGATATTTTATGGCTTCTCGAAGCCTTTTACGGTCGCCTCCACGAACAGTAAGCCCGGCTTGCGTACAAGTTCCGTGCTCAAGAGCACGGAGCTCTTCGGGGATGGGCCCAGCTGACCTCTACTTCCCTGAGGCTCAACAGAGCTCAGTTCTTCTCCAGTAGGTCACCCCGCGACTACTGGGTGGTATCGTTTTCCCGCGACGAACCAGACTGGTAGGCATTGGGGCGGTGGTTCGAAGAACCTTGACGCGCCTTGCGGAGGGGGCAACTGTTCTGAAGGTGACGAGTGTATCCATAGACAAAACATCGTCGTGTGTTTGCGCACTGAACGGCAGCTCGGAGCTCTGCTCCGTCGTCCTCAGCATAGCTGAGATCCATGTGCTCAAGCCCCCCCCGACGTGCTGTTAAAGTGTGCATTCCAACCAAGTCGTGTCGACTTGAAATTGAATTCGGTGTG